GGTGTATTACCTGTAGCTTCAGGTGGAATTCATGTTTGGCATATGCCTGCATTAACTGAAATTTTTGGTGACGATTCAGTATTACAATTTGGAGGAGGTACTTAAGGTCATCCTTGGGGAAATGCTCCAGGAGTTGTAGCTAACCGAGTAGCTTTGGATGCTTGTAGAATTAAATTCTAGAATTACATAGAGTTGAATTGTAAAGTGAATTGGAATAATTCAACAATTTGACTGGTTCTTTTTTGGCTTTTGATCTTTTTGGGGAAGAAGATCAAAAGCCAAATTTTCAGTCAAATCATTTTGATAGGAATGCATGATAAATATTCTCTTGTAAGTATAAATACACGTACTTGAATGAAACTACTTTAAATTGATTATAAAAAAATACAAAGAAGATGATTCATGGGCTATTAGCTCAGCTGGTAGAGCGCGCCCATGATAATTGCGACGTTGTGATTAGACTGTAGAGGCCTTCAACCACATAGGTAGTTCAATGTGTTAATCCGCGCCTAACAAGATAAAATTTTCCGATATAACGGACCTTAGCACGACGTACTCTGTTTCTCAATACTAAAGTCAATACTCAGAGGTATAAGACAAGAGGCGGTACAGGTGAAATCTTCTCTAGCATAGAAAAAACTTCACTCACTTCCCTGTGGGACAAGGGGCAGTCCARAGAAGTAAGTTCATTGAATTTAACTTCTCTCTTGTTGAGAATTCAAAGATTCCTTATCAATCCTTGAGTAACTATCTCTCACACACAAGCGGATATTCTGCTGCAGGGAAATCAATACAACATTATTTTACCCATGCACGCATTTCTACAGACTAAGAACTACGAGATCACCTAGTCAGAATTTCTTATTATTCATAATTTCTTATTACAAATAATCCTGCTAATGTAATAGGAATTAATCCAAGTACTATACCAGATAGAAGAGGTTCAACCATAGTTGTTTTTGTATTTGAGGCAAAAGATTTTGAATAATACAAATCCTAACTCAATCCTATACTCTAGTCTCCGTAACCACCCAATTAGTCTCTAGAGTATAGGATTGAGTTAGGATTTGTATTATTCAAAAAAGAATCTCCGGAACCACCCAATTAGTCTCATCCATTATACCAAAGAGTCGTCAAGAAACCTTAACTCTTCGGTGGATTCTTGAAGACGCATTGTGGAGACGACGTTTGACAGAAAAAAACATAAGTTTAGATCAATCTTTATCTGCTGAAATACAGGATGCTTCGAAAAAACAAAGATTTGCTAGAAAAAAAAGAGATGATCTTCATACCAAAATTTATATGAAGCTAAGTTCAGCATTTAAAATGACTTCGACTTCTCAAGGTCCAATTTTATCCAACTCCCTGATTTAGCAAAAAATTGGGCATCACTCCTTTTAGAAAAGGAGACTCTCCAGATTTTTACTAAATAAAAAAGTCAAAGAGACTGAACTTTGAGAAAACGAAATCTGACTAACTCCTTGGTTTTGTAGAAATTTCGGCAGCGCTTCCCGTAGAGAAAGTGGCTTACCAAGATTTATACAAGACAAAGTATAATAAAAAACCCCAGAAAATGCAGAAATTGACCTAAGTAAAAAAACTTAGCTCAGAAAATGCAGGAATTGAAACTAACTCCTATGGGTCTAGCACGTGGCGAGCAACTAAAGCAACTACCTATCAAACTAAAACTCAAACCAAGTATTAATCTCACTCAGCCACATGCAAGCCAAACCACAAAGGTAAGTACTCTCACCATCCCCAAGTCAACCTTGACAAACAATAGTTCGTAATCTTTCAATGATGTATCCCTTTATACCCAGCTTATATAGGGTATAAAGCTAGACCACCCAAACTTATGGAACATGTCTAGCTCGGCCATGGAGTATACACAAACACAGGGCACAACGACTTTTCTCTTCTTTGAGCATATGACTAGGCCACCCTAGTCGCCCTGAACTGTTTAATAGCTAGGTTGTATATCTCTCTCTGAACTTAATCTTCAAAGCGGGCGTAGGACTGAGCCATTCATTTTAGAAACAATGCTCAGTCGGCCCAAGTTACCCTTAGTTATACTCTTAATTATACTCTCTTCAAATTGTGATAAGCTATAGTCAGACTACCTAAACTTATAGAATAGTCTGACTAACCTGTTCTTAAATAAGATAATAATAAAATATAGCCAAATTATAACCTTTGGGTTCCAGCATGTGCGAGGCATTGGGCCAGGCTACCTAAACTTATAGAATAGTCTGACTCCCTGCCTGGTTCGTTCCTCTCTGATCCAATCTGTGTGTGGCATGGAGTCCAAGCCACCCAAACTTATGGAATAGCCTGACTCTCTGCCAAAGTTACTCCCTCATAATAAAAGCAGGAAGAGGTTGAACAACCTAAACTTATCGCATGGCTCAGACCTCCTCGTTCAGAACCAAAGAAACTGAGAAAGCCCAAGTAAACAAGGCAACCAAGCCACATAACCTTACAGAATGTGCTTGGCTCCTAAAAAGTCAGGTACGAATAGCACAGGTGATCCGTAAGGGGAAGTACTAGGCCGAATCCAACCCTTCTTTGTCAGCTCCTTAAGCTGTCGCCGAAGTTCATCTAACTCGGCGGGGGCCATCCTATAGATCCTTCCCTTTGGGGTCTTACTCCCTGGAATGATTTCTATAGCGTGGACGACTTCCCTTTCAACAACTCCTGTGGGCTCTTCAAACAGATAAGGGAACTTAGCGACGACGCGTTCTATCTCTGGGGGTGTTTTAACGGCCTCCCCCTTCTCAGAGACATAAACAAGATACATACCCTCTTCTTCGTTTTGCTTGTAATAGTTATAGAACGCAGATGCGCACAAGCAGCCATAGGTATCTATAATACTACTGGCTTTGAACTTGGTCAATCTGTCAGTTCGGCCATCGAGCAACTTGTGTTTGAGCACCTTCTTATCCCAGTCAAACTGGGGCTTAGCAACTTCGAGGTAGTACCTGCCTAGTAACATATCGAATGGCAAGTCGTCGCTAACCAAGAACGAGATCTTATGGTTAAGCTCACCTCCTCCATAGGAGAAGGTACAGACTACGTCCTTGATGTAGTCTGTTACAATCATGCGCTCCTTGTTGGCCAAAGTAGATGCTACAGGTTTACTAAGGTGTCGTACCCAGTCCTGTAGGTGCAGCCTTTCCAAACAGTCGCGACTTATGTAATTCCGCGTGGATCCGTTGTCTATGAAGGCTCCACATTTGCGGCCTCCTACATCCACTTCCACCACGAAATATTTCCCTCTAGGACCTTTCCTTAGTGCCACCCAAGACTCACGAGGGTCCTTGTTTGACCACTCACTCTCCAAGTCCTCTAAGGCTTCAGACACATCTAACGTATAGAGCATAATTTGGTTTAGTTGTGTCTGCGGGGTGACTAAGGGGTCATTAGCCTTGGCCTCGTCATGAAGTAGGGAGGTATCAATCCTACTTCATCTTGAGTAGAAGCAGCTACTACTTCCACTGGCCTCACGTGTTTCCCGAGCTAGAAGCCTGGGAATAAGTTGCCCCCATCTTTGGAGCAACCTTTTGCGTAACCTTAGCGTTCTGGCACTTGTACTGCGTGTGTCCGTATTCCCCGTAGTTGATACAAGCGCCACGCATTCGGCGGTCACGCCACACGTCTTGATCAAGACCTGCCTTAATCTAGTCAGCCTGCTTGGTTTGATTGGAGGCGGCCTTCCCTTGACCCCTAGGCTGGCCCTTCCCTCGGCCTGCCGCCTTAGTCTTAACTACCGCGGCGAGGGTGCTACCCTCAGCTACCTCCTAGTCGTCATACTTTGAGTAGTCCATCAGGTCAGAGAGCTCATCGATCTCAGTTTGAGTCCCATCAGACTCAACCATCATCAACTTTGCCCCCTTCTTCTTCCACTCCTGAGGACTCTTCTTCTTCTTTGAGTCATTCCCTGAGGTGGGTTGAGCATTGCCTAGCGTGGCCTCTAAGTCTAAGGCTTTCCTAGACAATGTCTCAAACGAGTGGTACTCAGTGCGTGCCTCGCTGGCTAGTAAGTTCCTTATGTTCCCTGGGAGACATCTGACAAACGTAGTCAATAGGAACTGATCACTGTAGTTGCTGCCTGGAACGAGGATCAGGCTCTCGACGGTAGTCGTAAGCTCTCTAACTGACCTGAACTTGCGTTGGTCCAATTTGTTAATGGCATCAGTGGCCCTTTGCGCCTCCTGTGGATTATGCCATCAAGCTTCTACCATTTCCATGAACTGGTCTAGAGTCAAAGACTTAGCCCAATCCGCCATGCGTCGCCCGTACCCGGCCTTTACACTCCATCTAGCCACTTGGCTGCCTTACCCTCAAGGTAGGATGCAGCAGTTACCACTTCGTCCTCAGGCAAGGTCCTCTTTGCCTTCACCCAAACCGGGACCGTTCTCAACCATGTGTTGAGTTCCTCGTCCTTTCTCTCGCCTGATAAGGCAAGAGGCGGTTTCATTGGGGTCTTAGGATACCATTGACCTTGCGTCTGTCCAGGTTGCTGAACAGGTTGTTGCGGTGATGTAGCTATCACCGCTGGACCCGAAGAAGAAGATGCAACAGTCTGTGCGGCTGCTGCAGACGTACCACTTGGTTGTGAACCAGCTTGAACTGGAAAAGGGCCTGACATCGCCGATAACGGCAATGGCGATTGTGCTGGTGGCATAAATCCTGGCCTTGTTAGGATGTCCAGGATCTGGTCCAAAGTGCTCTGCGTGAAGTCCAACCTGCTGTCCACATGCGCATGCAGTGACAGCATGTTGTTCCTCAACACTTTCATGGGCTCATTCATTCCTGAGTCATCTATGCCCTCCAAGTCAGCCTTGTCAGACTCTAACGTTTCAAGCCTGGCTGTTCTTTATCTCTTTTTCTCTATCGGTGGCCTCTTTCAGATCCTTCTCTAACTGTGCACGGATCCTTTCGACCTGTTGGAGCTCTCTTATCTCCCTTTCACGAGGAGTCAATGGGCTGTACTGCGAGCCCGCCATTTGACTTGTAGATTGCCTAGAACCTGATAAACTGGAAGTGCCCGTGGACCCTGTTGGCATTCCAAACTGGGGTAACTGGGGTCCAGATGAGAACGCAACAGAAGTTGCAGCGGAGGATGCTGCTGAAGAAGTCATGGCTGCTGCCCTGGCTGCTGCTGCAGCCTGTTCCCTAGCTACAAGGTTTGCTGCTTCTCTCGATGCTGCGAAAGCACGGGCTCTGCGTTCGGCACGAAGCCGTCTTTCTTCTCCCTCGTCTAGGGTCCTGAACACGTACGGGATCCTACTTGATCTTGCACGTGTTAATCTACCATCGTCAACTCTCTCCTCATCGACGTCTGATCCGCTCATGAGTTAGGCAGACTTTATCTGCACTAGAATTCCCTAATGGAATCCTACCGCAGCATGTGTCTGACCGACACCTAATTTTCTAGAAATGGTTGTGTCCGGCAAGTCCCCTAGTGTACCGATCAAGTGGCATGTCTACAACATTCACACAGATTGTCTACATAGTCTAAATGCACTTCGACTTGTTCACTTACAGCAGCATTAGTTAGAACTGGCTATGGTAGCATACAACAGTCCTACACTAATCTGTCTGTGAGGTGTTAGCAGTCTGTCCACCAACTAATCAAAGGTACAAAAAGACAATGTAGCAGATGTATGATTGATGGGTATAGTTGTGTACACAGTTGAGCTCCAATTGGAACCTACCCTCCCCTCAATCCAACATACCGAACAACATCTTTGAGCAAGCAGTGTCTTCGTGTGTGTATCGGCCCACCTCTGTGCCCAAGTTGTCACCGAGCAAGCCAGCCCAACCACTCTTATTTACCCTCGTACGGCGAGCCTTCCTGTCCATGTGATCTGGCTGATCAGGAGGTATTTATAGAGCTCCCCCATCTCTTCAGGAATTTTTTAACGTCGCAGTCAGGACGACGGTCACAGCGAGATTCACAATGAACTCTCAACCAGAAATGTTTATAGACAGTCTGGTAAGCGTCTGTCATGGGCTGGCACACCCGGAGGAACTTCTATTAGCGCAGCAAGTGCCAAACAGGACAGCAGCCATCGCATGCGTGCACTACTCCCTATGAGTTGGCATGGTGACCGTGACCCAAGTGCTTCGACCAGGGCCCTTCAGAGGCACCGCCCTTTCTCCTTCCAGATGCTTCCAGGAAGATTGTCGTCTCTCAAGGTAGCGTGCTCACGACACCTCACCAGAAGAGAGGACTCTCAAGTTGGACTCACTTCCTCACGGTAAGAAGAGATTCAGAGAGTAGATAAGGTAAGGGATCAACATACCTGGAGATAGCTGCCCCCAACCACACATTTTCTCACCAATTGAGCTGATGTTGCATTTGATGACCGGTCATGACCTTGGTACCACCCACAACGCAATGCAGTGCCACCTTAGTCCAATGCCACATCAGCATGCTCTCATCATCAATCAAACATTCCGTTGTATCCCACGACATACACTGCCGTAATAGCCTTCCGGTGCACCCCTCTCTACCCAGGGCGTGCACCTATAGTAGCCTGACGTCACAAGTACCCATTGCGAGGAAGCATCATCAACGCACCAAGTCTGTATAATGCCAGCGTGCCAAAGGTAAGTGGCGATCAAACCAGCTCCCATACCAAATTGCAAGGAACATGAGTATGGATGAAGCACAGAAATCCAGAATGCAATATCACACTGAAGTCCCAAGTATTCAAAGCCAAAGCAGATAGTACAATGGAACCGAGTAACCATCCAATTGAGAATGATACAGAAGAATCGTGAGTCAATGTCCATGCCCAACAGGGCAACACCAACAGCATAACCCAAATGTATCTCTCTCTTGTGAATGGCGCCAGGCGCCCTATCTACTCTACAGCCTATCCTACAACTACAGCAATGAACACAACCAGACAACTTGACTACCAGCGAGTGATGATGTCAACACCAATGCCGTATTCCACCATCACCAGGTACGTGTCCTCTTCCCCACACTCTCCCTTGTACCCACACAGCGCCCTTCACCTCCGAAGACCACCTTCGCCCTTCACCTCTCTTACACCCTCATGCGGCCCGGCTATGGCCGCCAGTGCCTTGCATGCAGGCAGCGCCCTACCGCCTAGCTCTGGCCTGCTTGCTCTTAGCGCAGCGCTGCATTGCACAGCGCAGCACACATGCATCCACACAGCACACATGCATCCGCGCAGCGTGCCCGCAAGTGCTAGCATTGGCCAAGATCCCTGCTCCCTCGCCCTAGTTGCCTATATGCCAATGAAGCGTGTGGGCGGCCTCCCTTCAGCCTGTGACCGGGACCCAGAGGCTGAAGCCAACTCGATACAGTTGGGCCCCGGGCAATGCAGTTGCGCCTCTTTCATCAAGGCCTGTGGCCAGATTCAGATAGTGGGCCGATATCCCTTTGGCATTTTCGGCCTCTCTGCCCAGCATGCATTGTCGGCCTCACGTTCGGGTGCCCAGGGCCTAACTAACTCAGAGGCCCTGGGCATTTCAGCATTTGCTGAAATCCGAGACTTGGTGCACACCAACCAACTGGCGTGCTGCAATTGTATGAACCCCACTTTGTGAAATGTTGGCACAGAGGGCTCTTGTTGATTTGTTGGCCCGCCTTCACTTAGGGCGGGCACGAGGCTTGCTGGGGCCTTAGCCCAGAACATGTACATCATGGCAAGGCCCCTACTTGAGGGCTCAATCCTCACAGTTACTTGGAAATTCGAAATATTCTTTTTCCGAAATTTCGTTGTTCTGAAAACGGTACGGGAAATCCCTCCTGCAGGTATTATTTTCCAAACTGCGAATACTCTCATCTGAGTAAGTCCGAATATTTGATTTCTTTTCGGAATTTTTTTTTTTTCTCGCAGTTCTAGGATTCTGTTAGTCAGTTCTATAATCATTTGCAGTCTGAAGTTCGAAAGTTTTCTCATTGATAGTTTCGCACTTCAAGGGAGGTTGGGAGACCTACTGAACTTGCAAAGGTCGGGATTTTTATTTTTCTCGAAAATTTCTTTTGCAAAGTTCAAACTTTTCTTTTTTGATTAGTGGCTCCTTATCTGGGCGTTGTCTGGGCGATTATCCTACCCACCCCTCCCTCCCTATGTTATTCCCACCTCTCGCCCTACCTTCTCTACCTGTCTCCGGGTACCCCCTGCGGCGGCATTGGTGAGTTGCCACGTTAGCAGGCCACGTCAGCCGACAGCAGTCCCTCGTCAGCAGCAGGGAATACCACGCCATCAGGCCCCCGGCCTGGTCTATGTTGTTGCGTTCACAAACAGCCGTCATGGCCCAGAGGTTCGAAGAAGCAGACGAGGCCTATCACGCCCGGATGCTGGCCTGGAGTACCGAAACAAAGAGACGGGCGGATGACGCAGCAACAGCAGCAAAGAAGGAGGCAGAGGATGCCGAGCAGGCACGTCTGCTGGCACTTGAACAACAGCGCCAGCACGACGAGGCAGCAGCAAAGGCTGCTGATGAAGAACGAGTTCAACGGCGGGAGAAGATATTTAGCGGAGAGCAGACTTTGCTCACAATGGCAGCGCAATGGCGGACCGAGGCCGAGAATGGCAAGATGGAGGATAGCGAAAATAAGATCGCTCTACTCCTCTCCCATCTCACAGACCTCCTGGCGACAGGCATTACACAGCAGGAGGACATCCACAGCCTCGACGACTCACTAGCTCAAGTCCACGGCCGCCTCCGGCAGCTGGAGCAATGACCTGTCACCGCCCCTGATGCAAGCTCTTCCAACACCGATCGCCTCGAAACATTGGAGATGGACGTCGGCTCCCTCAAGGACGGCGTGCAGTTACAGCAGACCACAACTGCGCGAGACAGCTCCAAAGTTCGACGGGCAGGAGATCTTCTGCGACTCGACGAAGACAGATCCAATTTCAGGGTTTCGCAAGTTCGAGCTTATGCTGCAGCTACACTACGTCAAAGAACACATGCACCACGCATACTTATACTCTCGGTTGGGGGGCGCGTGCCAGGCATGGTTGGACAACCTCTTGTCCAAGTGCGGAGTGGTAGCTGCCGACTTGCACACCAAGATCAGTTGGGATGATCTGAAGGCGGCGTGGCACAAACAGTTCCAAGTAGAGCCGCCGGAGATCAAGGCAATGGACAAGCTCATGGTCTTCGAACAAGGCAGGTTGTCGAGTGTCGACTCGATTGCCGAGTACCAACGCTTGACATTAGTCCCAGACATCCAAATGGGCTTCAAAGCCATCGGGCACTATTTCATCTCAAGGTTGTGTCCGACATTAAGCAATGCCCTGACTCACGTTGAGGACACCTTGACGACAACGGCGGAACTCTTTGACAATGCCGCGCAGATCATCATTACGAACAAGGAGGCTAAGAACCTGCGTTCGTCTGCGCCAGGCCCGAGCAAAGACCAGCATCGGCCAAGAGTGGCCGTGATCGCGGCGACAACGCCATTTGACCAAACTAGCGAGGCCGTGTCTGCCAATGAAGGGGACAGACTCGCAGCCACCCGGGAAGGTAGCCGCCCCGACAAAGGCCGAGGACGCGGCAAGACGAAGACACACACCGCATCTAGCCCCGGGCCCGGCGCAGCAGCTCCAGCCCTATGGTCCCAATACGACATCTCCGAGCAAGCATTCAAAGACCGCACAAGATTCCACTATTGCCTATGGTGCAACAACGATCTCCATGAGACACTGGCCTGCCCATTGAAAGGCAAGGGCAAACACGGAAACTGAGCACCGCCGAGAGTGACTCGACGACACTCTCGACACCTTCGGAACCGGTTTCTTCGCGAGTGACCGGCCTTCATTCTGAGGCGCATGCGGAAGTCGATAGTCCTCCTCTTCTGTATTCTTTTGAGGACTATTCTGCCCGGCTCGTTCCTACGCTGGGTACTCAAGCTCAAGGACAAAACGTATGTGCAGCATCTTCTCCGTCCGGCAGCGGCGAGTTATCGTCTTCAAGTGGTTCTTCACGGGATTCGGCGCGTTAGTTCAACATAGAGGTATTGGACCCGCTCACGTCTGAGGACTTTGCATGGCTTCCTCTCCCGACCACAGGCCGCCTGCCGGGACCGCAATGCGCAGCACTATGCGCTCATCTCCACACGTACTTATCCTTCTATGCACCACCAACTTCGCCAACGGATGACGAAGTCGCGGTGGGGGACATCCTTGCGTATGTTACCAAGGTGGCCCGCGAGTTTCGCACGCAGCGGTACGATGACAACAATGCATCGCTCCTTTATGTCCGCATCCAAGTTGGGCAAGCGTCCTGCAGCGTTTTGCTGGATAGCGGAGCGACTCGCAATTTCATGAGCCAAGCCTTTATGCAAAGGGCTGGCCTTGGCGCATAAGTTCGGAGGAAGGCAAACCCGACGGCGATCAAGTTGGCAGACGGAAGGACGCAACGACTTATCGACCGTTACTTCGAGGTCTCACTGGTGTATTTCGCACCTCATGCATGCGAACCGGTGACGTTCGACATTTTGGACACGGACTTTGATATCATTAGCGTTCGTGACGCCTTCGGCGCCGAAGTGTCGTGTACTATTCCTGTTCCGCACCCTTCGACCCAGTGCCAAGTGGTGACGGTCAAGTCAATTCTTCCCCCACGGCCTTGTCTTCGGACCCCCGTGTGGTGCGGTTGCTTTATGAGTTCACCGACATCTTCCGGTGTGGTGCCGGATCAGCCGATCTCTCACGAGATCATTCTTGAGGTCGGTGCCGTGCCGCCGAACAGCTGCATTTACCGCAGCTACGACAACAGACCGACCGAATACTTGGTACACTTTGTGTACTGATGCAAGGCAAGCCGGTATCTTCGGCTCCACGTCGCACCCGCGACCAGATTCCACCTTCAGATCGTCAGCTTCGCCCTCGACCTGGCTTGACTTCATAAGCAGGGGGGGGTGTTACATGCTGTGCCTGCAACAGGCTGCACGGGCCATTTTCAGGCCCGTGTCTGTTTCAGCCTGACAGCCTGAAAACCAGGGCCTACAGGCCCCGTGTCTGTTTCAGCCTGACANAGCCTGACAGCCTGAAAACCAGGGCCTACAGGCCCCGTGTCTGTTTCAGCCTGACAGCCTGAAAACCAGGGCCTACAGGTCCCGTGTCGTTTCAGCCTGACAGCCTGAAAACAAAGGCCTATATGCCCTCAGGCTTTAACCAGAAGCTACCTGGAAACTTCCTGGAAGCTTCCTCAGGCTTTAGCCAGAAGCTACCTGGAAACTTCCCGGAAGCTTCCTCAGGGTCTAGCACGATTTGGCATTGGCAAGAGCAGCCTCCTGGATGGGCCAGCACTATATAAGACTTGCCCGCCCTGCAGGCTGCAGGTAGTTGGGAGGCAGTAGTCTTCAGGATTCGGCAGCTGCACTCTGGAGGAGAGGTGCAGGAGTAGTTGTAGCGTTAGCATTAGTCTTCAGCGCTGGGCGCTAGTAGCGTAGCTGTAGTCTTCAGCGCTGGGCGCCATAGCTACGGTAGTACTAGAGAGAGAGAGATTGGGCGGAGGCCAGGGATACTTACCTGCAGTGCCGTTGCTCCAGCTTCGTCTTCGAGGTACCTGCAGCACCGCGCCAACTTCACAGGTTAGTACCTGGCTCGTGAGAGAGAGAGTTCTTCTTCTTCCWCTTCTCRGTCCAYCATCTCCTTCTCACCCTCTCGCTATCTGACTTCACTGCATCAGCAGACTACGAGAGAGAGAGAGAGAGAGAGAGAGAGAGAGAGAGAGAGAGAGAGAGAGAGAGAGAAAGCTTGGTGACATTTGCATCCAGACTCGACATTGGACTTCAGACATATCGAAGAGGGATTATTTGGGACTCGTAACGAGACTTGGTGTTGACGACTTTCCCATCTCCCCCTTCCTCTTCTTCGTCTGATCCCCTCCTCTTCGTCTGTGTATGTCTGGACCTGGCGCCTCTTTTCTGTGTATAGCGCCAGGCCCCTTCACACTTTGTGATGGGAGTGATGTATGTTTGGTCTGCGTTGAAACATTGATTGGGCTAGTCATTAGTATTCTAGCATTCTGCTTCGCTATCTTATACTACGTGAAAGAGGTCAGTCCCGGTCAGATCAGGAGTTGTATCTAAGTCTTCCCTGCTCTATAAAAGCACCATTTTGTATGTATCGAAATGCACATTGCTTGTTGAGATTCCACTTGCATTGCATTGTCCATTTAGTCCTTTTCATCACATTGCGGATCCTCGGTTATTATGTACATCGCCCAACTGGGCATGGCGTGCTGCGAGAGCCTGAATACCCACATACGGAAATGTCGAATTTTTGGCCTTCGACGAATATTCAGGCCCACCTTCACTTAGGGCGGGCACTCGGCTTGCTGGGGGCCTTAGCCCAGAACATGTAATGTCTGATAGGGCCCCTTGAGGGGTCGTTCCTCGCAATACTAAGAGAAAAGAGCAAAACAATAACATTTTCTTCACAAATTGCAGGCGTCTCATACAGTGATATGTGCCGGTAATTGCATGTTGTTCTTCTTTTTAGTTCAGTTTTGTTGCAATATCATGCTCCATTCCTACCTTAGTGAATGAAATTTCTGAGAAATGATCATAACACAATGATCAAACAAACTATCGTGCTCATCCTAAGTGCCAGTCATGAATTCCCACTGTACTTTCCATAGGATCAAGAAAGTGAGAAACGGCCCTATTCGTGACTACCGTCGGACACAAGAAATACAGGTGTCACAGATGCATGCCCCGATGTCACTCCAACAACTTTACAACCACCACAGGGAAGAGGCAAGACCCTTCCCAGAAAGCTGTTGAACCAGAGAAAAAAGATGCCTTCCTGGCAACAAGATACTGGGGATTCGTGAGTGGAAGCATGATTCTGAAAAGAACAAGTTGTCTGCATACCATAAACTGCAAATATGTGATTGCCCCCTTGCAGAGATATCATTTCTGTTGGCTGTAAGCCGTCCAATCGTTTGAACAGTGCAGATTCTGGGTCCTTCACAACCGCCATCTGCACAAGGAATCACCAGAAGAAAGAATTCACAAATACGTCCACATGTGAAAACTTCAAGCCCTCATAAGAGCAGATGCGGCTAACCCTGATAAGAATACAAAACTATGTAACTTGGCTAGACTCTTCCACATCCTCATATGAAGGGATTCTACTTCAGGGATGTCAAGTTCTGCACGCAGTAACAACCTTTGGAGCTTAGCTGGCATTGATGTCAGGATGGGTGACAGGGAATTAGACTTTTGAGTGTTAAGTCAATAAAGTGTGGCATTCGCAGTTCCACACGAGCCCTCGCAGGGCCCGACTGGTAGCTTAGGGGTTAGCAGATGGGTTGGAGGCTTGGGGGGGCCAGTGTCATTTCAGCCTGTTTTAGGGCCGGCAGGATTAGTAAGTACCAATTAGGTATAGGGCCAGTAAACCATAGAAGGTTAAGTACAGGCCCTGGCGCAGTTTCGTTTTGGCGCCAGGCCACTGGTTCATTTTGGGCTCCATTCAGTAACAGTGAACTCTGCTGGGCGCAGTTTTTGTTCACTTTTTGTTTTGGCGCCAGACATCACCGCAGTTTCGGACTGGTAGAGGCAGCCTCCCAGTCGGACCAGCACTATTTATAAGCTGGTCCGACTCAGTTGTAGGCAAGTACTTCTGAGGTGGTATGGTAGTCTTCCCCCGCTCAGCGCTATGCGAGGGAGTCGAGCTTGCGCTGCAGGGAGAGATGAGGCAGAGGCCAGAGGGACTTTCCTGCGACCTACCTGTGGCGCAATAGCTCCAGCTTCGTCTTCAGTGAGTCCGCACCTGCATCAAGGCGACACCTTTACGCAGCTCAGTACCAGGTGTACACCGAGAGAGAGAGAGAGAGAGAGAGAGAGAGAGAGAGAGAGAGAGAGAGAGAGAGAGAGAGAGAGAGAGAGAGAGAGAGAGAGAATTCTTCTCCTTCTTTCTCATCCTGCCCACCATCGCTCCTCCTCCCCTCCTCCGGAGCTTCTTCTTCGTCTTCTGCTAGGATACAAGAGAGAGGGGGAGAGAGAGAGAGAGAGAGAGAGGGGGAGAGTTACATGCTGCGCCTGCAAACGTGCCCCATTTGAGGGGGCCGATGGTTGCTGAGGGGCCCCCAGGCCGCGTGCCCATCCGACATGCGCCCTGGACACTTACGGCGGCCTTTAGGCCGCAGGTACGGTTTTGAGGCAGCATTTATTTATTTATTTGCTGTCCTGTTTTTGTCTTTTCAGACGTCGTTTCGGACTTGCAGTTCCCAAGGCGAGGCCTTGGGCTGGATACAACTGGAGGCAGGGCAAATTGGGGCCAGGCGAACTTTGGCACCTGCTGCTGCGTCAGCAGCACAGTCTGGACACCCGGTAGGGCCCCCGACCGTGCGGGCCATTTCAGGCCACGCTGCAGCACACCCAGTCGCGCCACGCGCTGTATATATCTGGGCCACGGCCAGGGCAGACACACAGCTCGAGTAGCTCGCTTCTGGAGCGACACGCTGCTGGACTAGGGCTGCACTACTTAGCGGTGCGCCCTGGGGTTGAGAGTAGAGGCGTAGGAGGCCGAGGGGGGGGGGGGCTTACCTGCAGCAGGGCGCACCTGGCACCATAGCTGGGGCTCCATGGCGAGCCGACCTGCACACGACAACAATGGGGGTCAGTACGGCCACGTGAGACAATGAGGAGAACGACATCTTTCTTCTTTGTCCAGTCTCCCTCTCGTCTCCCTCCTCCCTCCTCCTTCCTCCTTTCTTCTTCTTCTTCTTCGTCTTCTTCTTCTTCTTTAAAGAGAGAGATTAAAGAGAGAGAGAGAGAGAGAGAG